GACCTTTTGACCTATGTTTACTAAAGCTTTTTTACTCAGTACAGTGTGCCCTATACACCATATAAATATTGAATGTTTTTTTTTTTAACATCGTGTATGCATGAATGAAGCGATCTTTGATTTTTGTTATTAAAGATTTGCACCCAATGACCTCAATGATAATTCGTGTTGCATGATAAAGTGTTGACGAGTTCTATAAATTAGTATTCATTGATCAGAACCGCGTGTCTGATGTTTACATGAAAATTCGTACGTCTCACAATGTCGACAGTAACATCCATACTTATCATTCAGTTAATACTCGCGTTGAGTTTTTCAATAGTTTCAACGCAACAAAGTGTAAATAATAGGCCTATAATAGGTGAGTAATACGTAGATCTAGATATTTTCAAATCGACAAGCGTCTACGAAGATAGTAAAAGATATTTCTCATTGATCATTTATTTCATTTATCTTTATATATCATGTGCATTTGCATGCGTATATATATTACATATACTTTTTTTATCACATCTTTAACCAATTGTTATTTTTCGCTCACCTTATTTTCAAAAGGTGTCCTCGCACAAGAAGTAAGTGAATATGTTAATAGAAAGTATCCCGGGCATCGTAGTTATATAGCTGCATCGTATGTAAAATTTATCGAAGGAGCGGGTGCAAGAGTTGTACCCATTTGGTAAGTGGGTTTTGTTAAGAACTTTTTAGAAATTAATTTTAAAATTATATACCAACATCCGATGACACATCTTACACAGGATTGGCAAAGATAAATCGTATTACGAAGATATTATGAGTAAAATAAATGGGTGAGTTGAAACTAAAGAAAATTTTAGAGTATATAAATAATGTTGATCGAATTACAGTTATTTTACAATATTTTCAACAGAGTCCTATGGCCTGGTGGAGGCGCATCCTTCAATAATACGAACGGATACGCTGATGCGGCATACAACATTTATAAGTAATCGTGTAGAAATATCTTTAGTTGACTGTTTTATTCGATAAAAATTTTGAAAATTAATTCATTTGATTTTGTATGTTTTCATGTACAGAATTGCAAAACGAAAGAACAACGAGGGTGTTCACTTTCCAATTTTCGCGATATGTTTAGGATTCGAAGTGTTAACTTATGTCACTGCAAATCGTCGGAATACTAGACGTAGTTGTAATGCTGAAGAAATAGCGATGAAACTTGAATTTGAGCGAGGTAAAATTGTATACGAATAGAACGAGTGACGAAAGTAAACAATTTTCATCTTTTCTGCTAAAGTTTTTGTTACGTTTCAGATTATGAATCTAGTAAATTGTTCAGAAACGCTCCGGCTCATATTAAAGACATATTGGCCACTAAAAATGTAACCTTAAATACGCACAAATATTGCGTTACGAAACAGGTCAATTTTATTTCTTAAGTTCCATGTTACTTTATAAAAGCATGTTTTCAATTCTTTAATGTTCATAGCATAAAATTGCAGGATTTAAAAGATGCTGGTATAAAAGATAAATTCGGAGTGTTGTCTTTGAATCATGACAAGAACAGTAGAGTAAAGTTCATTTCTTCCTTGGAATCCGTTGAGTATCCTTTTTACGGCTTACAATTTCACCCAGAAAAGAATCTGTACGAGTGGGTCATTGGAAAAAGTATTCCTCACTCGGAAAACGCTATTCAAATTTCGCAATATTTTGCCAATTTTTTCATTAACGAAGGTACATGAGTGTTTTTTAAAGATTTCGACATTTTTATTACATACAAGAATTAATATTTTTACATTAAAACAATTTAACGAAATACTTTATGTGCAGCACGTAAAAATTTGCAAAAATACCCACACGTGTCGGAAAAATTAATTTACAACTACCAACCGGTTTACACAGGCTTGGACGGTCTAGCCTATGAACAGACTTATTTCTTTGATAAAAGTATATAATATTCTCGTAAAATTCTATACGCACTAGTAAGTACGAAAATAGTTCGAGATGGCTAAGCTACCATTCTAAACATAGTTTCTAGTGCCTTATTATTGTAACACATTAACCAATAATAAATGGTTAAATAAAAGATATCATAACGATGATGTGACTCTTTTAGAACAAGGCAAACGCGTACGTCGCACTCCCGCATTATGATTTGATAAGCATAGCTTCTTGGAAGGTCATCCGAGGCTCGGCATACCACATATGGCTGATTGGATCCATTTGCCAGCTGTGATACTAGGTCGATGGAAACGTGCCACTTGAGAAAATCTCGATGACTTCGAACTTTCTTTATATACATACATATAGAATAAGCTTACTTTAACACGGTGTATCATTTTACAAATATTGCAGGAAAAAATAAATAAATATTATATAAGCATATACGTCATTGACAATTTACATATTCATTGTCCATCGGGTGTATTTATAGATTTAAAAACAGGACGCGGCGATAATTTATTCAAATCACAAATATGCAAGGTGCCCGACAGGTTTCTAGGCAAACTTTCCTACCATTATTCTACGGTTAAAAATAAATCACAAATACAATTAGCTATCTATCTAAAAGTGACAAATCAATTTCTAGATGGACAAATAGATATTGATTCGTAATGCAGACAGTAACGCTGTTATCTCTAAGTACGCTTCAACTATACAACGATATTGTAGGAAATAAGAACCGAAATGTTATTTCAGATAATTGTTTTTTACTTTCATTTAAAATTTGTTAACAACGTTTATAACACGAAAATCCACGTTGAATGCATCGATCGTGAACGATCCTTACTGCGCCTCAAGGTTGTCAAAAAGAAAGTCGCGTCGAGCGGGATCAAGCGTGCGCGCATAGTCAGCGACCAGGTAAAATCTCACCTGTTGAATGCCAGGTGAAATGTCAGTCGATGCACCCACGTGATTCGCGGCGATTCAGCTAGCCGCGCGAACATCGAGAAACTGTCGTGCCACTTTGGCGCCGCGAATCCGTAACGTAATATCTGATCCGATACAATAAAATCGATCTGCGAAACGTTTTGTCTCGCTGGACGAGCAATCATCAGCGTACCGTTAGCTGTGCGCAAGATTATAGTCATTCAAGTGTCGTCGGGATTCGAGAACGCATCAGGTACGATTTCCCGAGGATCCACTTGCTCGTTTTTCGTGTCGTTGCAACGGGAAGCTGTAGCGAGAAGTATCTCTTCACATTTCTTTCTCTAATTTCACGAAGTTTTTCAATTAATACAGTGGTCTTCTTCTGAAAAGACCTCGGTAAACAAAATTTCCTATTAACAAACGTACAGAATTACATTCTGTACGACGAGATTTTTCGTGACGGCGCGACGAGTATAGTATTTCTTCTTAATCGACCACTTAACGGAACAGTTATACAAAGTAATTTGGATTTTGAGCGTTCTACTTTCTCCGGTCGTTGCACTCCAGCAGGTGTAAAGATTCTACTTAAATTAAGGATGCGTGTTAAGTACCCTGCCGTCACTTCTCGCGCGACTTTCGGACGACTCTGACGCGAATCGTTTCTCTGCTCGCAGACACGGTGGCGATGGACGAGTTGGGCTGCGATCTCGAGAGCCTGAAGTTCGACGAAGCTTGTTTGCGTCTGCGAATCGACGACGAATCCCCGAACGCGTGGCTTTATTTGCTTTCGTCCGACTGCGCTGCGGTAATTTGTCGAATATCGAATATACTGAAATTCGTTTAGACATTTTGCGAACTAACTCATTCGTTGCAGTGCCCTTATACTCGGACCAGGCGAATCGCAGCTAATTCAAGTTCCAGTGTAACGATCGACACGGTCAGATCCACGAGTTTGAGGGTCCTAGACGCTGAGGATCCCAGCGAATACGTATCCGTAAAAAACACTAGGTAAAATTTTATAAATCTGTGCTTTTTAACGTTTTCCATTCCTATTGGTATCGTTCACGCTTACCTCGATAATACGATTTGGCGTTCCAGTAAGGTGATTTGCGAGCTGACGCCGAATTTTGGGCAGTTTGGCGTGTACGAGTTGTCGGTCCAAAACGGAGGCTGCGACGTAACAGTCGTCCATGGACCGACTTACCCTTACACAGGTAAGATTACATTACTTTAAAAGTTATTAACCCCTTGACCTACACGTTATCTACCGATTGCTGGGCCATAGTAAACGGAAAGGTAGGAAATCCGAACGAAGTAACACGAGTCAAACTCGTACTTATTATTTATGGCTCAAATTCCTTATCGCGAGTCTAAGCGTGCAAAAGGTCATCTGATACGTAACTTCTTTCAGAGCTCATCGTCATTCTCGGAGTATTGGTGCTGGTCCTGTTTGGTCTGTCCAGTCTGAAATCCCTATGGCACGTGTGCAGCAAGAAATGCATGAAACGTCAGGTAGACGAAGCGACGAGGCAACTCGCGAAGCGTCGAGTGAAAGCAATCGATACAGTTCGAGGGTAGGTCCTTTAAAGTATACAAACCGTTGTTCGTTTAGCACAGCGTTTATCAAAGTGGTTCTTCCTAGCTTCGAGCAGCGACATATCTAATATTTAAGGGATCTTTGTTGTCGCAGGGCGAGCACTCTGATGATGATATTCGTCAATGGCGGATCCGGCGGTTACAAGACTTTGGGCCACGCGACTTGGAACGGTTTGCTCCTGGGAGATTTGTTGTTCCCTTGTTTCATATGGATTATGGGCGTGTGCATCCCTATAGCTTTGACTAGTCAGTTGAAACGTACGATACCAAAGCGCACTATACTGTACGGGATCGCCAAGGTGAGTAAGTGAAAATTTACTTTGCCCGCGTACTAAATTTTGCATTGTCTACAGAGGAGCATCCTCTTGTTTTTGATCGGAGTATCGTTGAACACGGTGGGAGCTGGTCCACGTCTCGAGATCATCCGCGTATTCGGTGTTCTCCAACGTTTCGGTATAACGTACTTCATCGTCGCAGCGTGTTACCTCTGCTTCTCGCCTAAGAGACCAAAGCAGGTACAGGTGAACGTACGTACATTCAAAGCCGAGAAGACAGGCACATTCTGCTTGTATGAAATACTGTAGGGTGTGCTATCTCCGTCTCCTCGATCGTTTATATTTTCGCTATCGATGACAGTCCTGATCAACATTTATCGTACATAGTCTCCGATGTTGCGCGGGGTGCAAGATGTCCTTGTGCTGATCCCTCAATGGTGCGCGATGGCCGTCATCGTAGCAGTTCATTGTGCCATAACCTTCTGCTTGAATGTTCCCGGATGCCCCACGTATGTACGTATAATCACATGAATAACATTCGTCACCTTGCGATACCATTTAACGAATTATTGTTAGCGGATACCTCGGGCCCGGTGGTCTCCACGACGATGGGAAGCATTTTGACTGCGTCGGCGGAGCGGCTGGGTACATCGACAGAACGATATTGAAAGAAGATCATTTGTACCGTCCGTCTAGTGTCTACAACTCTGGCCCGTTCGATCCGGAAGGAATTTTGGGTATACAGTATTTTCTAACGTCGGAACATTCGAGTTCTCGTCGTTCCAAAAATGTTAGATTATATAATTTCTAATTGTATAGAAAGAAAATTTTAGCCTAGCAGGAATTTTGACGATTATTGGTATGACAGTGAACGTGTAAAGCGAAATTTGTAATCGAACGTGCTTCGTTTGCCAAGGTACTCTTACGACAACGTTTCAAGTATTCCTTGGTTTACACGCTGGCATAATTATGACGTCGTACAAGGATTGGAAAGAGCGCGTCGTCAGGTGGCTGGCGTGGGCAGCGTTTTTCGGATGCATAGGTTGCGTCCTCCACTTCGCCAACGTGATTCCAGTCAACAAAAACTTGTGGTACGCGTCCAAAAAAGGTGTCGGCATGCGCGAATCGTAACGTTCGTTGTATTTTTCACAGGTCTCTGTCCTTTGTGCTGGTGACGACGTCTTTCTCTCTCGCTTTCCTGACCGCGTGTTATTTACTCGTGGACGTCGTTAAAGTCTGGAACGGTGGGCCTTTCCGAATCCCTGGTACGCAGTACTTTCTCAAGATTGCGTAATACAATTTCTTAACAGCTTAGCAACTTTTAAGAACTTTTTGTGCAGCCAGAGATCGAGTCACGTTTACGCTCTATTTATATCGGTCGTTCAGGAATGGTTTGGTCGTAAATCATTTAAATTATTTTGTTTCGGTTAACCGGTTGTGGTTGAGTAGTAGTTTTACGACTTTCCTTTTAATCTTTTCTTATGAAAATCAATCACGCATCGACAAACGTTTGTCGCGAATCTTCGTAGTCCAATGGCTATTGTTTCCAACCAAGTAGTAAACTAATAACGCGGGCTCGATTTGCAGGTATGAATGCGTTATTGCTGTACGTCGGGCACATAGTGTGCTACAAAATGTTCCCTTTCCACTGGCACATCGGAAACATGGACAGCCGCGGTCTTCAATTGCTGGAAGCGATTTGGTGCGTCGCGTTATGGACGATCATCGCGTATATCATGCACAAGAAGCGAACGTACATCACTCTGTAAATTCTGGTGAGAATATCGAAAACGCATATATCGCTCGTTATCTCGGTCATTATTGCACGAGCGATAATTGAACGGAGGTTATCGTACCGTAAAGAATAAAGTGCCACTGTACTTTCCTTCTGTAATGTCTTGCCATTGTGTCGCGAGTGTTTACCAACAGAATGGATTATTATTTTATATAGCTTTTAAAACTGTTACTACAGTTTAATAAAGGAATTGTCGAGGATAGATCGATGTTCTGTCATCGAGAACACCGCAGATTGACTCAAAGTGAAAATTGAGGCGATCTTTACAAATAATTTATTTTACACAACTTACATAAATAGCACAATGACGGATCGAGGTAACGACAGTATCGATACAAACATACTTTCAGCCGGTTACTTCGCGTCGATCTCTTTTCTCTCTAAACGAAAAAATTGATACACGAACGTCACAACGAGGCATTGAATTCTACGTAAACAAACCGCTCGCATGATTCGGGTTCGGATTGTTCGGCCGCCGATCGACACCGACGCTGTTAATCGTTTCGCGAAAAAATGTTCATCCCTTAGCAATGCGCACACATCGTGGGATTAGAAAAAAGTGAGAAGAAAATAAAAGAATGGACGGGGAGGTGGGGGATTGACGAGTCCTGTCGGGCAACGATCACGATGGACGACGAGAGACACCAGGGACATCGATAGCCGTCGTTTAAACAATTGCTACGGATCATCGTTGTAAACAAAATAAAAAATAATAAAAGAAAAGAGAAAACACACTAGCAATGCCATGTTTCCTAAGGAGGTACCCGCCTTTGCTCAGTAATCAGTTGCATCGGGACCTGAAAAGCGAGAGAGACAATTATTAACATTTATCACGAAATCATCGACGA